AATTCCCTAAAAAGTATTGTTTTTTAACCCCATTTTTGTGATTTTTTCGATTTTTACCATAATAATCATGATTCATTCGATTTGTAACCAGTCATGTATTGTAAAAAATTTAATTACAAACATTTTTTTCCTCTTCCATTTTCGCCTAAAATCAACTCTTAAAAAGATACATAATTAAATAGGAAGAAAAATATGACATTTTTCCAATTTTTTTGACATATTGTGCCGCCAAAAGTTAAGCCCAAGTTTTTTCTTATGCGCATAGAAAAATTTTCATTTCTAGTGATATTTGAAAGCCAAAAATCTCCGTCGATATACGATTCACCCAAATATGGCTTTTTGAAACAGATACCGTCTGGACTATTTTCCATCGTGGCAGCCCAAACTTTTAGGTATTAATGTTGAAAATGGGACTCCTTTTTCGCCCTAGGATTTTCTTCAGCCCACCGATGTTCATTATGAATATTAAACACTCGAGTGAAAGTCGCTTGGTCCGTAAAAAAGATAGATCGTAGAATATTCGGATTTTCATGTTGTCTTTCTTCCAGCAATTGACAAAAATCTGTTTGGAGCTCGTAATCATTTGGTAGTAGCTCTTGCACTTTTGTATAATGATATGGGTGTAACAGTTGCTCTTTTAAAATTTCCCAAGTACCACACACGGACACATTTGCTCTGTTTGATAATTTTCTGATACTTACTGAGGGCTTCTGAAATACCATATCTAAGTAATATATTTTTCTTTTTTCAGCAATCCTTATAGTTCTTGGTCCTTCCGAATTTAACTTTTTTTGGCTTAAACGGGTCTGTCTCCCGGCATCGCCTTTCAACGGCTAAAAATGTATTTCTATTTGGTAATCTGCGACCAGGAAATTTTTCTGAATATCACCTTATAGCAGCACAACTGTTCCCTAAACATTCGCATAAAGTCAGCAACATATCGGTATATTCCGAGTTTGAATAATTATTACCGTTATTCATACCGTAGCAAGTAGAAATTTCTTATTACACGAATTAAAATAAATATTTGTTCTGATAATGCACAAAACACGTTCATTTGACACATTTGACATAAGCCTACTTGAAATAAAAAACAATTTGGGACTACTACTTGAATTTAGCGTACTATATCTGTTCTTTTCTCGAAAACGGAAAAATTTTTTAGCACTTCTTAACATAGTACATTTTTGTTTAGAATAACATTTGTCATAACAGCAAGTGACAAAAGGGACAAAAAGATTATCTTAAAAAAAGTTACGATCTAAAATGTTCCCGCGGAGTACTGCACTGAACGTCATATATGTTATAGCCAAAAATTAATAACTCCAGAGCATTTAGCATCCCTAGGAAGCCCACATAACAAAATTTCAGTTTATTCGGTCGAATTTTGTGGAAGATAGGACCGAAACTAGATGCTAAAAAATTATCCTTGTATCTTGAAAACGGAAAAAGATGAGAGACGTCCATGGTTCATAGGAACAAATTGTAATATTTTTTTTAATGCTATCAGGCCCTGAATTTATGCTAGTGTTTTTTAGAACACCCTGTATAATTGTGCACAATTGTATTTATTAATTTCTCAAGCATCTTGCAAGTTTGAAAAATGTTACCGTTATTAATAGGAAAAATGTCGCTTAGCTTTCCCGCAATTTGAAAAAAATGTTTGCTTGGCGGCCTAAAAACAGCCCTATCAGGAAAACATAATTTGAATGATTTATATGCTTTGGAACTTATTATGTAAAATCAATTACAACGTTTGTACAACTGGAAATGTGAGTTTATTTATTATCGCACATGCGATTATAAAATGCATTACTTGCACGAATTACTCACCTTATTTTTATTTCAAGAATTTATTACCTATTGAATTGTTCTCTTCATATCAACACTGCACCGAGATTAATAATGTTGGTTTTTACACTTCTATTTTGAATATATGGAGTACTCCGCATTACGCCATGCAAAGTTTCATGAATGGTAACCGTAGAAACGTGTCCCATAGTTTGCAAGGGAATTCTGATGTAAAACCTTTAGAGAAAGAAGACATAGTGCGACTGATGAGATTAATCCTGGAATCTTTAGAAGTGTCTATACATCTTTGCAATACTTTCTTAAACAGCTTTGGTCCAAGTCGGGTAAGTACAGCATATTTCTTTTTAGAAAAATGAATTTTGAAGGGTTCTATTTTTTAGGAAATCAATTTACTTTCGATATTTTTGATAGTTAGCTACACATATTGATAAAAAAATTTGTATTGAGCCCAATTTAATCAGCCACAACGTTCTATACGTCAAAAATCCATGCAATGTCTTTGAATTGTGAACACAATGTCATTAGATAATTTACTTAGGCAGCTACAATAATGTTATTTTAAAATTTTAGTCATAAAAGCATTGAACTTTTGATTTCGTTTCGTTGTCAGCGGTCATCGCTTCACATTGTCAGTTATGACAATTATATGTTTGTTACACTTTAATTTCATTTTTCTAAAACTGTCATCAAAAATCGACATTTTCGTTAAGTGATCAGTTGACAAAGTTAGTCTTTTTTGTCACCTAGCTGTAAAATACTTTTATCTGCTCTGACTATAGTAAATAGACTATTAATACATTATTTTTAAGGGGGTAGTAGTAGTAGTAGTAGTAGTAGTAGTAGTAGTAGTAGTAGTAGTAGTAGTAGTAGTAGTAGTAGTAGTAGTAGTAGTAGTAGTAGTAGTAGTAGTAGTAGTAGTAGTAGTAGTAGTAGTAGTAGTAGCACAGTAGCAGTAGCAGTAGTAGTAGTAGTAGTAGTAGTAGTAGTAGTAGTAGTAGTAGTAGTAGTAAAAGGGGCGGCCTCAGCCTGGCAATTAGGCCACAAGTGGGCCCTTTTTGCCTACCCCGCCGTCCCATCACCTAACCACTCTCGACGCCCTGATGAACGCCAGGATTTTGGTCCATGGAAGGTCTCTCACCTCAACCCCTTGCAGCTCTTCAGCACCAAAAACTTTATGTCTTATTCTCCCAAAGGCTGCACACTGTCCCAGAAGGTGGACAGGGGTGTCCTCCCCTTCACCACATTTCAGGCATAGAGAGTCCTCCTCAATTCCTATTAAGCTTAAATGCCTCTTCGACTGAGGCTCAGCAGCCATCTCGTCTTGGATTTGCTAGGTCCATGTATAAAACTATGGGCCTGCCTACATCCTCTATTTCTCCTCCTTTATGACCTAAAGTTTGATAGGCCCATTTATTTAGGGCCCCGTTAACGCTGCCTCGTGTGATACCTAAGATTGGTTCAGGTCCCTGTCCGGGTACCCTGGACCCGAGACGAACTAATTGATCCGCCCTCTCGTTACCAGGGATACCCATATGGCCTGGGACCCAAACCAACTCTAATTCTTTTCGTCTGGCCAATGACTCTAGAGCGTCTCCACATTCCTGGACAAGGACAGACCTAGTCATCGGGGAGCTAACCCCTCTGAGCGCGGCCTGACTGTCGGAGCAGATAACAATCTTCTCCTCTACACAATTCCTTACCTCCTCCTTGCTTGCTACCAAAACTCGGCCTGGAAGACTGTAGCGTACCCCCTTTCTGGGGTTCAGGGCTATTCTACGAATTCGTAAGTATGCCCATTGTTATTTTTTCGTCGAGCTACCCCAGTTTATATATATATATATATACAGCGCGCATCAATTTGAACGTTTGGACGAGCTTCCCCCACCACCACGCCGCCGGCCGCCGGACAGTTTTTTACTTAACGAGTACCTTCTCTTTAAAGGGCACTAACACACTAAGTCATTAATTTTCCAGTGAAAAGCTTTCCTGGATGCCGCTGCCTTCCAGATAAATTCCTGCTCCTGAAAACTCGTCTTCTACCCGAGATCCATCAGTATATCATACTAGGGATCCCGGGGAGAACATATCACCATCCTGCTTCCACTGCTCTGTCGAGGGGAAAGTGGTGACATACTTCCTTCCTAACCTAAGCCGGTCCTCTGCTTCCGTAACCCTCATGGCGGATATTGGGATGTCCCTTTCCGCACTGAGGGCCACGGCAGCATGGCCCTAAGTGCGTCCTTTCACTCTCCAACCGCCGGCGTCCCTTATCCTAAGGTATGCCGCCATCGCCTCCCTCATAATCCATGTAGGAAGGGTCGCCAGCCCCTGAAGGACCTCTAACGCGGCCGTTGGGGTCGTCCTCATTGCCCCTGTAATACCTAAGCAGGCAAGTCTCTGGATTATCACCAGCTTCCTGGCTACCGTCACCCGGTCCACACACGGCCACCAGACCAAGGCCCCATACTGCAGCCTCGGCCTGACTACCGCCGTGTACACCCAGTGAAGCACCCTTGGATTGAGCCCCCTGTTTTTGCCAACTACCTTCCTTAACTGCCAGAGGGTTGCCACTGATTTCCTAATCCTCTCAACCTGTGGCCCCCACGACAGTTTGCTGTCCAGGATTACCCCCAAGTATTTGACTTCCCTGACCAAAGTCAGGGATCTCCCATACATGGTTGGAGCTCTGAACTCACCTATCTTCATTCTCCATGTAAATAGGATCATCTCAGTCTTCTTTGAGTTGACTGAGAGCCTCATCTCCTCACACCACCTCTTTATGATCCTACAGGCTCCCTGAATTATGTCGCATACCACGTCCAAAAACCGGCCCGCGACTAGAACCACGCCATCATCGGCGTAAGCATGGGCATCACTGTGTCCCTCCGAGGTTAGGCGTTCCAGGAGACCGTCCATCACTAGGCACCATAGAAGCGGGGAGAGGCAGCTGCCTTGAGGGCATCCCCCCCACTCCCAGGTCCCTACGACGGTCCTCCATGGCTGCACTAACCTTCCTTTCCTTCAATGCCGAACTCACCCATTCGACCACGATAGGCGATGTACCCCGATCTTGGAGCAAGTTGCATATGGTCTCAGTTTTTGCCTTGTCGAAGGCACCTTCTATATCAAAGATTATTGCCAGTAGGACCTCTTTGTACTGAAGGGACTTCTCTACTTTATGCGTGACACTATGTAAGGCCGTCTCTGTGGATCTGCCCCGCCTATATGCATGCTGGTTCGTGTGGATTGGGTTTCTACTCAACGCCCCATCCACCTGTGCACAATTCTTTCCATCGTTTTAAACAGAAAGGATGTGAGACTAATAGGCCTAAAAGACTTCGCCGAAGTGTAGTCTTCTTTTCCAGCCTTGGGGATGAAGACCACCTTGGCTGACCTCCAAGCCTGTGGGACGTAGCCCATCGCCAGACTGGCCCGGAAGACCCTCACCATACATGGCAAGAGAATATCCAGGCCCCTCTGCAACAACAACGGGAAAACTCCATCCGGCCCCGCTGCCTTGTAGGGTTCGAACTCATTCACTGCCTAGGTTACTGCCTCGTCGCCAATGAGCTCCTCGGCCAGGAGCCAATCTGCTTGTGGCATCGGCTCCGCCCTGGTGCCCTCGACGACATGGCCTCCACCTGCAAAGTGAGTTTCCAGTAGAAGTGCTAAACACTCCTCGCTGGAAGTGGTCCAAGTCCCATCTTCCCTCTTTAATGACTCTAATTTCTCCCTTTTGTCGCAGCTTAAGATCTTCATTAATCTGGCTGTCTCCGGCAGGGACCCCAGCTCGCTGCAGTATGCCTTCCAGCCAGATCTCTTGCTACGCCTAAGTTCCTTCTTAAACTCTCTCCTTGCAGTTTTGTAATCGTCCCAAGAGGTCCCTTCCCCTTCCCTGACAGCTCGGTTAAAGACACGCCTGGCCGTCTGGCGGAGACCCTCCAGCGGACCTTGCGCCCACCTGCCGCCCTGAGAGGGCAAGCCTCCTCATATGCCGAGACGATACAACTGCTTAGGGTTTCTAGCTCGTTATCTAACTGCCTTGTGGAGGTTATTCGATCACCCTGGTTGCTCGCTTCTAGGGAGCTCCCTAGGTTACCACGATATACCTCCCAGTTCGTTGCCCTTGGATTTCGTCGGAGAGTTATCGTTTCCGAATCCGACTTTATCTCGAAAGCGATCATCCTGTGATCGGACATCGAGATGAAGTCTGTGATACTTTGAGAAGCCAACGTAATGTCAATCACATCTTTCCGGATGCGGTTCACAAAAGTCGGCTCCTTTGCCCTATTCATGACCTGCAGGTCTGTGGTTGCTATATATTCCAGCAACGCCTCCCCACGGGAATTAATATCCCCGCTGCTCCATACCGTGTGGTGAGCATTTGCGTCACACCCAATCATTACAGGCAGACCTTTATTCTTAGCAAAATTAACTACATTTTCTAACTCTTTAGTAGGCGGTAGTCTACCAGTATCAAAAGGGAGGTATATGCTACTAACTATGACCTTACGCCTAATTCCTCTTACCTTATATTCGAGGATGGCTGCAGTGGCATTCCTGGTCCCCAGTTGTGGTAGTGATACCATCCAGAGTTCCTTGGACGCCATTATGCAGGTCCGAGGTGGCTCGGCTCCATCCTCCTTCCCGACTATCCAATTGTGGCAGGTACTACCTAGCCCCACTACTCGATTCCTGTAAACATAAGGTTCCTACTAAAAAAACTAAACTAACTAAAATTAATTCTCTAAACTAAAATTAATTCTCCAGTCTTATCTGTCAGTAGCTTCACCAGTTCCCCGGTAGCTGACTGACTGTGCTGAAGATTAATTTGCCTCACCTGCAATGTATCCATCTTGGGGCCTGATGGTGCAGTGGGGGGGCTTACTTCCCTTCCTAGGTCGGCCCGGGCTCCCCCGGCGCCTTGGGTGCCTGGCGGACCGCTCCACTCCAAGTCGGTATCCGGCGCACCGCCAGAGTAACCAACTCGAAGTAGAGGACCCACCCGACCTCCTCTAGGCGCCTGGATATGTCCTGGCCAACCATAAAGGTCAGATGCCACCCCCCAGGTCCTCCTGTCGTCTCTATATGCTTCCATCTTCTAACCTCTAGGGAGCGATTTTGAAGCTCCAGCATCGCCCTTACTTTGGGAAGGTTGACCTCTGGGCTTCTCAGCCAGAACCAACCTTCTCCGGCCATGGTGCATCACTTGCCCGGATTGCCCGGAAAGTGACGTCTCCCTCGGCCAGAGATACCCATCTTCCAGGAGCCAGTCCTTTGAAATCTCGTCCTGAGCCGTTACCAGGAACCAGCCCGGATCCAC